CGGGGCTTTGGGAGCATGGCGAAAATCGCCATCACGCCATGGAAATACGTTTGCCTCTCATTTCTTCAGTTATCGTGATATCGCTCCGACACTTCTGGTGAGTGATCCTAGTCTGACCCCCAAGAGAAATAGACAGCTGAAGTTTGTGGGCGTGGCCTATTCTCTTAAATAGCGCCCCCAAGGACCATTTAAACTAATAGCCCCAAGCCAAGCTTTGACTGAGGATTACGAAATTTGGTACACTAATGTGGTGTCTCAGTACCTACAAAAAAGTCTCTTGGAGCCAAGTGCAAAGTCGCACAGGAAGTCGGCCATTTTGGTCCACGTACGCGATTTAGTGGTTTTCGCACACGTTGTTTGGAGAGTGATGCTTCGTCGCCCTTTTCACCAATCTCCTTCAAACTTCTGCTATATACTCTTAAGACATAGGGGAAAAAATTCAACCGTCGGATTTTTCAAAAGTTGAAAGGTGTGGGCGTGCCTAAGCCTCAAACGTTGACCTGTCGCCACGCCACTCTTTTTTTCACAGCTCCCTACTGGACTCCTTTTACCCAATCACCAGGATTCTGTGGGAAACAGCAGTAGACAGCTTGAGGTTACTTAGTCTCCAGTACTGGCAGGTTTTGAAAAAAGGCGGGGCTTTGGGAGCATGGCGAAAATCGCCATCACGCCATGGAAATACGTTTGCCTCTCATTTCTTCAGTTATCGTGATATCGCTACGAAACTTCTGGTGAGTGATCCTAGTCTGACCCCCAAGAGAAATAGACAGCTGAAGTTTGTGGGCGTGGCCTATTCTCTTAAATAGCGCCCCCTAGGACCATTTAAACTAATAGCCCCAAGCCATGCTTTGACTGAGGATTACGAAATTTGGTACACTAATGTGGTGTCTCAGGACCTACAAAAAAGCCTCTTGGAGCCAAGCGCAAAGTCGCACAGGAAGTCGGCCATTTTGGTCCAAGTACGCGATTTAGTGGTTTTCGCACACGTTGTTTGGAGAGTGATGCTCCGTCGCCCTTTTCACCAATCACTTTCAAACTTCTGCTGTATACTCTTAAGACGTAGGGTAAAAAATTCAACCGTCGGATTTTTCAAAAGTTGAAAGGTGTGGGCGTGGCTAAGCCTCAAACTTTGACCTTTCGCCATTACTTTACTTGACTTAATAACTCCCATGAGCATGATCAGATCTTTTTCAAACTTTGTCTGTGTGATAATTGACCATATCTGTAAAAAATGACAATGTGGACAGCTGACATCACCTAAGCCCCGCCCCCTGACTACAGGAATTCTATTTTTTTATGCTGAAATGCCCATATTTGTCCCCTCTAATTTAGTCAACAAGACACCAAGGTCATGCACTGTCTTCATGATGCTGTATTGACCATTCAGATCTGATAGCTTTCCAGAAAGGGAGGGGCTTTGATGCCTTGGTGAATTCTGGCGTAACGCCGTAACCTTACAAATCATTTTAATGGTGAGCTCAGAGGGGATGCTGAGTCAGGGTGAGGTGCGGACTAGGAGGCCATTCGCGGATTCTAGTGTCGGGGTGGTTGACGTTTCTGTTCTGCCAGACGTGCCTTGGTGCCCCGGGCTGCCGGTCAGGCCGGAGCGGCGCGGAGCTGCGAGGGCCGAACGACGCTGCTTGCAGCTTTAATTCATTTTATTATTTTTCTGCCCTCGATGTTTGGGAAATTCCTCTAGTTTGAACCAATTACTTGTAAAGAGACGTGGATCTGAGAATGTCCATCATTGTGACTCAGCAGACGGGTATGAACGTCAGAATGAAAACATGCACGGTTGTCATGGTTACGTGACAATTTGGAGAAAGATGTCTTTGTGGGTAAGATTGGGGGAATACTTGTCCATCTTTGTCCACAAGGCCAGCTCTGAGAATCAGATGACCTCCATTAGGATGAGGAAAGGGGACTTTGGTAGATTTTTCGGAGTGACGACACTTTGCATCATTCGTGCCCAGAGGGCGAGTGCCCGCGTTTGCATTCATCAACAAATTCCTCGGGTGTTTTCTCACCCAAGTCAGGCGTTATGAAGAAGAATACCTGTAAAGATTTCTTCTAGAATATAACAAAGCCATTAAATAGCAGCTGAATGAGATAATCTCATTCCTACGACTAGACAATGCGTCGGTGCCAGCCTCTCATCCGAGCCGCTCGGATGTCATTTTGATCCAGAGATAACGAGAGCACGACACAAATCTCGGACTCTGGAACTAAATCATCTCCGTCTCCTCCGGTGTTTGGGTTTAGATGCGTTTTATTTACATGAAACATTCACGTTGTGTCCTTCTGGCGTCAGATCTGACCCTGACTGTGAGGAACGGGGGCGGAAACGGGGCTAAACACATGAAAGTAAAACAAAAATGACGTTTCTTTTTCTCCAAGGGCTTACGGGAAACGAGCTCTCGTTTAAATAAGGAGATGAGTCACAAACGCACACCTGAGCAAACTGATGTGTAAGGGCGTTCACGTGCACCGTCACACTTGTGGTGAGCTCAACAGAAAAGCTGTTCAAGAATATGAATCACAACCAGTCTAAATTTAGAGTCTGAACCCTCATCCTGACAAAGACTATTTAGTTTTCTGGTGTAAAAGTGGATTGTTGGATCTTCTCTCCTCTGATCTGTAGCGACGTTTCCACAAGGAAAGTTTCATGAACCGCCAAAAAAGCTCAAGAATGACAGTCTCTGTTTTAAACACACACCGAGTTCATTCAGACTCTTAATCTTGTGTAATCTGCTGGATTTAATGAGTGGCAGGTGACTTCAGCACAAGATGGACGCTTTAGGCCGAAGTGGAAACACTGAAAAGTACAAAAAAACTTCTGTTGTACTAAAAACATGAAAAAACTGAACTGAACCCAACTAATCTAATGATGGAACAGAAGGATGAGTTTGTTATGAAACGAGCCAAGCAGGGTGGGGGAAGTGCCGTGGTTTGGGATTATAATAATTAAATCAGCCTAACCTCAAAAACCAGAGGATGTTTTTTAACGACTTCCTGTCTCAGCTATGTGAAGAGTTTAGCAGCAAGTTGGGACCCGTTGGCTGCTTCAGCCTACAAAGACTACAAAGGCTTCAAAAGGACAATAACTAATCAATCAAGTACTTTAATTGCCTGAGTTATTGGTTCTGATCCAGAATCCTAAGTTTCTTCTTTATTCTTTTCAGAATGTTCCCTTATTTTCACTTTTCTGGAAATGTTCTGCCGTTTTCCAGAAGAAAAGTTCCTTCCCATAAACGCATCGGCAAATCATCAAGACTTTATAATCAAAGTCAGAAAAGCATTTTTTAAAAATATGTCAAACACAATTAGATAATCGGCTTTATGCACTAATAAAAGCCACACTCATCCATAAGTTTGTCACTTTATGCGGCTCCTTTAAGAGTTAGATTAGTCTTTAATATCGTTCACAGAAAAGATTAATGAGTTATTTCTGCTGAGACGTGTTGGGACTAAGAGTGGGAGGGGTGTTTATCTCGTGTGGATGACGAAACGCCTTTCTTCTGCCCGTCATCACCCTACCTCGTCCTGCCAGTGTTCCTTCGAGGTTTTCTTACAAAATTTGAAGGATTTCTGATTATTTTGGATCGTGTTTTAGAACATCAAGAAGAAGTTGGATAATTGTGATGAAGTAGACATGAGGATGTGAGATGTCAGGGTGTTTGTGCTGCCTGAGATCAGAAAAGACAGTTAAAGTTTGATCCAGGAGACAAAGTCCAACGTCTGAAACGGCTTTGGAGCTTTCTTTCAGGAGTTGGATGAAAACAAAATGTTCAGAACCAACTGGATGTTGTCTAAAAACAGCTCCCTGAAAGCTCTGGTGACAAAACCCCCAGCGAGGCCCTTGGATCAGAGGCCAAAGGTGCGTGCGTACGTGCGTGTGTGTGCGTGTGTGTGTGTGTGTGTGTGTGTGTGTGTGTGTGTGTGCGCGTGCGTGTGTGTGCGTGTGTGTGTGTGTGTGTGTGAGATTAACGTGGTGCCACTTTGTGAAGCCGTATTTATAGAAGGAGGACCGGTCCGCTCCTGTAATACTCCACAGATCAAGGCTTTGATGTCCTCATTGCAGCATGATCCCACTTCAAAGCGGCGCTCGTGGACGGGATGGGACCCGGAGGGGTGGGACGCTACTATGTTTTCATTATTCCTGGCCAACGATTCAGCTTCATCACCTTTTGACCTGGGGACGTTTGTGCTCACAACACCCTTACACCAAGATCCTCAGCTGGAGATGTTTAGTTTCATCCTCGACTTCTAAAACCTCTATAATATTTATATTTTTGTGTTTATACCTTTTTCTGGTTTCTTTGTTGTCATTTCTAAATTAGCTCTCTAATGAAGTCAAAAAATACCAAATCTAAACAGAACTGTGTAATTATCAATTAAGTTTAAAGCTGTTTTTATAAGTACTTCAGTAAAAATGTCCCAAAAATATCTGATATTACTTCCTAGAATAAAACTTTCTGAATATTCTTTCATCAGAATAGCTTCTGTTTGTGTAGAAATGTCTTGTCAAGCTGTTCCAAATGGGTTCATAACAGTAAAACAGTTTTACAGCCTTCACCTACCTATGAGGAATCTGCTTTTGGGAGTTATTTGGAGTTACATGTCAGAAAAGTACACTTTGAATAATTTCTAACTATAGAACAAAAGGCGCCATATTCAACATTTATAACGTAATTTTCCCAACAGATTCCAGTGGTAGTAAAGCCACCACAACTGTGGAGCGGTGCATTCAAAGACACCTTCTAAGTGCCCGTCCTGCTGATGGAATCCATTATCAGTTATGAGTCAGACCTGAAACTATTGGAGACAAGAGTCACATTCCACCTGACAGCAGAGGGGAAAGGGACTTTCCGGTCCTCCACTCCCTTTCTAAGGTTGCATGAGTGGCATTTATCAGGAAATGCCGTCACCCATAAATCACGCGATAATGACCCGATGGGATAGGCTTCCGGCTAAGAGTTCCAACAAAATCAAAGCATGGGTGAATTTATGTCAAAGCACGTGGATATTTATTCAAATAAATAAATTTACAGTACAGAAATTGTAAAATAATTTAAAACAAGAGCTTTATGCCAGTAACCACAATATAAACAAATAAATTAACAGTTATTCTCCCATAGAGAGCACATGAAATTGTTCTGACAGTTCAAGAGTTCAGTCCGGTTTGTAACTTCTGTCTGTCGGACTCAAGCCTCCTCCAGGAGATCAGATCCCAACATTCCTTCATCTCTGGACCGGAGGACTTTGTCTTCCTTTTGGTCCGCGTTTTCTTCCTCAGTGGTCCAATTCGACGCTGGAGGAGGAATAAACCGCGTTATAGGTTTGTGGTGTGTTATATTTTTAGTGTACATAAGTCATTCATTCAAAGTGTCAGCCATGTGTCTTGGTGCGTCTCTCACCATATTAGGAGCAGTTGATGTGTCCGCGTCCTGGAGCGCGCTCAGGGCGCCCTGGCCATGCGCCTCTCCTCCTGTCCGGGAGACGCGCTCTCGTTCTCCGGCCGCGTCTTATAGTTCTGGACGGCCTTTCTGTTCTGGTAATTGATCAGAGCCATGGTGATCGACGCGTTCCAGCCGTTCTCCTCCTCGGAGCACCGGAAGTCGATCTCCTTGTTGTCTGTGGTCACTATGGTGAAGTAGACGAACTTGCAGGTGCGCTCCACGCAGTCCACCTTCTTGATGGACTGCAGCTTCAGCTCCTTGCTTTTGGTGCGCTTCTGCGTGTCGGCGTAAATGTTGAGGCCGTCCGCGGTCAGGACGCACGTCTTCCTTTTCCAAAACTGGAGCAAGTTGTCACTCCTCTTCTCCAGCTCTCCCTCCTTAAGAACCTGACAGACTTCCTCTGCAGACATTGTTACTGTTTGGGTTTGGGAACCCTCTTTTTTATCTTGAGTCATTCGAAGGACCAGAGGAAGGCGCTCCTCCAAACTGGTGGAAGTAATCCAGGGAACGGTTGTGAATGACAGAGGCTACTACCAGGGTGTTTTATAGGCAGCCCAGCCTCTCCCCGCCCACTTTCTGTACGTCAGCTGGCTTGAGAATGCGGTTACCAGCGGAGTCATGCTGAGCGTGGGCGGAAGTTGCGGCGCACGCGGAGTGGAGAAGGGTTGAGAGATGTTAATTAGTAATCCACATCTCACTGTGGAGTTAGTCCAAATATTTCCCCAGTCGGCACTAAGTGGTTTAGTACAGTCCTAATGTGTTTACTCGCCAGATGCGCGCACAGATCTAACATCTGGAGAGTGCGTAAAAGCCAGTTACAGTAAAACCCGAGTGGCTTTCAAACCCCTCGTGATGAGTTACACTTTTATTTCTGCTGAGTTGGGATTAGTTAGCAGGTCATCTTTAGACTTTTGTCTGCTCAAAATTAACCAAACTGCACTAAAGAGGTAGAATATTTTGATGAGGAAAAATACTTTTCAGCCCAATGAGTGAAAAAGTTACATTTCCACCCTGTTACATCATTATCTCTGACTGCATTTCAGAAATATCAGCAATCAACAGTCTGGAGCGGCAGGACCAGAACCAACTGCTGCAACTGATGAAACCAATCTGCTCTAAAAAATAAATAAAAAACAGGGAATATCTGACCTTTGACTTTAAACAGACCGTTCATGCCAGAAAACCCTCCAATATGGCTGAAATGGAACAACGACATAAAAAACACTCATTACCTGTAGTATCCCGTTAGATTGATGGCCACCTCTCAAATCTGATGGTTTATTCCAGCTTAGCTCACAAAAACACCAGAGCTGTAAAACAAAGGCATAGAAACGGGACTAATCAAGCTTAATTATTATCACACTGACAGTTTTACACAAGCATGAAATTCCTTACAGGAAAATGTATCCAGATGTTGATTTCATTAAATAGGGCCTATTTACATCACATCATCAGGCATTCCACAAAAATCTCAGAACATAAATGCTTTTAAAGTTAGCAATGATATTCCAACTCTTAATGACAACAAGCACCTGACCAAGGCTGCAACAAAGGCCCTGAGAGGGAGGGCCAAGCATTTCCTTACATGTTTAAACATCAAAAGTAACAAAACACACATTTGTTTAACTCACTTTATTCACGTGCTCGGTAGGAATCTCCACCAGGTGAAAATTTTTACCACCACACCTTCAAAATGTTTGTTCTTCCTGACAAAATGACTCCACTTCCGGGTTTGGATCCATTTTCAGGAAGCCTGTTCCTTCAAAATAAAAGTTCTCAACTAACAAATACACAACCCTTAAAAACACTAATCAAAAGATAATCATTGTGATTGACAGATTTGTTAAGTGTCTCATTTAACTACGTTAAAGGGACAGTTAGCTATTTTTTTTCTCATAAGGATGATTTAGATAGCCTTTTCTCTCTAATAAAACAAACTATTATATGAAAATTACATTTCACAATTAATTCAGTTGTCTTTGGAAGTCTGGATTTTTTTTTCTCTGATCTGAAATATTTAGGTTTGACAAACAGGCAAATGTTTATTTATTTATTTTTTACTGTATGTTTCAGGAAGGTTCCTATAAGAGATTTAAAAAATGAGTCAATTTATGATTTATTTCTCTCTCTCTCTCTCTCTCTCTCTCTCTCACACACACACACACACACACACACACACACACATCACTAAGTCACACCATGCTACATAAATATGAAGAAAATCTTTACAAAGTAAATTTCACAAGTCTTATTAAGGAAATGTATTGCATTGGAAGTGATGCACATTAAACCGAATATCTGATTAAGTTTGAATAAAAACTTTCATTGTTGAGCCACGTTAACCACTAAACTTGGTCTGAATTTGATAGAAAGCAGCTTAATGATCTTGTTTTGTGATTTTTTTTCTCCAAAGGTACCAGTGAACAGAGATGAAAACTAAATCAAAGAACTTTTTGACGCCCTTTGATACTCCAGCTGAGGTGTGGCTGCTCCCTTATCTCGCTGACATCCACCACTCCCCTCTAGTGACCACGCTGCAGTCAGCTGACTGACTCAGACCTCTTCATGTCAGACAGACCGGAGCAAACACTGACTGAGCTCCTATCTGTGTGAATCAACAGAAGGAGGAGGGAAGAATATCACTTACTTCCTCTGACGCCTGCTGGGAAGAAGGGGGGTACAGGATGAGGGGACAACGTTTGATTATTTTAATTATTTTTGCGACATTGGCCACATAGTTTATAGTTAATCTGCAGTAGAGAACAGATTAGAGTTGCTCTGATTTCCAGGACCACCCATGTAAAGACTCCAGAGACCAACAACATCTGACTTACAGATATATTTGGACAGGAAAAACCACGATGAATAATTTTAAACACATTAACTCAGGAACCGGATGTAGTGGTTGGGTCTCTCGTCTGACCTCAGAGACAATAAAAGCACACGTGTTCATGAACACAACCACCCGCCGGCTCGTGTTGAGTGAAAAGGCTCCAGCGTCTGTTTACTTCCTCCACTATTTTGTTTCAGGAAGTTGTCTCTTTGTGATCTAGACAAAATGAGCCAGGGGTGAAATGCATCTGTGTGTGTGTGTGTGTGTGTGTGTGTGTGTGTGTGTGTGTGTGTGTGTGTGTGTGTGTGTGTGTGTGTGTGTGTGTGTGTGTGTGTGTGTGTGCGTGTTAGTGTTAGAGGAGGATTGTGGTTAAAGCTTGCAGACATGTCCGAGCAATGACTCAATGAGTGAGCACCACTTTGGAGGGGTTTGCTTACCAAGGGAGGGCATGAGGTTTACGTGTGTGTGTGTGTGTGTGTGTGTGTGTGTGTGTGTGTGTGTGTGTGTGTGTGTGTGTGTGTGTGTGTGTGTGTGTGTGTGTGTGTGTGTGTGTGTGTGTGTGTGTGTGTGTGTGTGTGTGTGTGTGTGTGTGTGTGTGTACTGGGTAACAAAAAATCTACACACATTTATTAATTTGTTTAAGGAATTAAGTGAAAGTAACGTGCATTAATGATGTTTATTATAAATATTCTTTGTCTACCTGTAATAATCAGAACGGATTAACTCAACATGTAAAACTAAAAAGTGTCGCTTTGTTCCCGTTTCTCAGACTTGTGGGAAAGTACAGCTGTTTCTGGAGGGAATTGGCTCACATGGCTAATGTTGCGACAACCTCTGGTTCAAATCAGTGCTTTCGAGTTCTCACTGTTTCCTCAAAGACAAAACAAGTCCAGAAGAGAGGAAGTCTGATTGTGCATCACCTGCAGCAACTTTAGATACGTTTATGAGATAATATAAATAAAAAGGGAGGGAATGAAGGTCGAATAGTTGTGTTTTTGCTTTGGTTTTTCATCGTTCTTGACCTGCAGCCACAGGCACATGGGTGTGACACGATGGCAGGAGGAAGGACCAGAAAGTCCCAGAGTTCTGAAGTCATGTCCAGACATGAAGCCGCTGGATGTGTCCTGTGCGAACCTCCTGAACAGACATGCAAGTGAATCCTGGTGATTTTATTTTGAGTTAGAAATAAACTTAAGATTCTGAGACTAGTTTTTAAAAAGCCAGAGGAAGTGAGCTGCACTTCTGATCACGACTGTTTTTGATGATTTTTTTTCATCAAGGATTCCTGTTGAGTTTTTACACTATAAGAGCATTTTCTTAAATTAGTCCAAGGTTTTGTTTTAATCTTAAACAATTTTGAAAACATCTCACAGAAATTACTTTAATCCTTCACAATAAGAGTCTCAAACACATCACAAAATATTCTCACAACACCTGCAAAAACATTTTTAATTAGTATTTTTGAAAATGATCAATCGCTCCAAGTTTAACGTGCAAGCTGAATGTGAAAATAAACTCCTACACACTAGAACTTGAAAAACCTGACAGATCTACGGCACACTGTCACTTAACATTCATGGACTCACCCATCTTGACTCAGGACGGGAAAGGCTGTTGTTGGTTTAGCGTCCAGGAAACAGCAGAGCATGTCTCAGCTAGCAGAAGTTAACAATTAGCATGATCAGCTACACCACACGGCAGAACTCCTTCAGGCTTGTGCTATTTGTTGAGATAAAACATCAATGTTACAGAGCAAACACAGCCAGTGGTAGAGTCACGTTATTGTTAGCAAATCTGAGGTGTCCAAATATCAGGAAGTGAGACTGAAGCTTCTTTCACTTCTACCTGAATCCTCCATGCTGAATCATGCGCTGGAGCCTGGAGCCCATCCCCCACCGAGTACAACTTAAGGCATCCATTCCTAGTAGGAATTTCCTACTATAGACCACTACAAATGTATTAAAAATATGAGGGCAGGACCTCTTGAACCACTTTTTGCTCTCCTATAAAATTCATTCTGCCTAAGCTGACAGCAAGCTAGATTGTTTACAAGCTGTGCACAACTCCACACACTCGTTACGCTGTGTGTGCTAAAAGAATTTCTCCATGATCACAGCTGCCACCTGCAGTTAGGCCGACTACCGCTTTGCCAGTTTTTAAGAGTCGACTAAAACAATTTTTTTTGATAAGCGTTTCCAGAACATGCTTGAAGTCGGCTTGCTTTGATGTTATTTTTAGTTTTTGTTTTAATTGCTGTTTTATTCCTTGTTATGTCACTTTTATTCACTGTTTTATCCTTTTGCATTATGTTCTATGTTTTAACTTCTCTTTTTATGACTATATGCCTTTTTACAATGTGTTCTAGCGCCTTGGGCACCCGGAAAGGGTTGTGGAAGGCGCTATATATAAATAAAGCTTTGATTGATTGATTGATTTGACTGATTGATGATTAAAAAGTCTCCATGGTTTGGGTTTAGTAGCTTTTTTTATATTGCTCCAGTGCCGATTTAATTTGGTAGAACATATTTTATGTTTATGTTTATTCATTTGGCAGATGCTTTTATCCAAAGCGACTTGCAATTTATAACCTATAGGGCATGTTGTGATCTGTGGGGGAAACCAGAGTACCCGGAGGAAACCCACGCATGCATGAGGAGAACACGCAACTCCACGCAGAACGCCACAGCCGAGCCGAGTTTCAACCTGCAACCTTTGTGCTGCGAGGCAACAGTGCTAACCACTGCGCCACCATGCAGCCCATATTTTAAATCCTATATCTTAGTGAACCATGCACAGATTGTAACTAATAAACTTAAAAAGGCAAGAGTGACCACATTCCGTCATTATTATCATGATTTTATTACTTTTAGATTGTTATAAATTCATATTATTTGCAATTGATTGAAATTTTTCCCCTTTATCTGGAAGTTAAGGGTTAATCCCAAAACAGCCGGCCCAGACGGCTGCAGTAAATTGCCAGTAAAGGAGTGTAATCTTTAAACAGTCACACCCAGCTTATAAACTGAAGACACTCAACTGTGGCAGCACGATCCAGGCTGTAAATGTTAGTCATCTTTTATAGTTGCTGTAAATTCTATAAAATATTGATTCGATTTACAAAACATTGTACTTCATGACAACGGATGGACAAAGGAATATATCTCTCAACAGTATATTAATGTGCAGCAGGTAACAGCTGCTGACTGACTCAAATAAAAACTCACACATCCTCCTCTTCTTCTCTTTGTTCACGTGCCCTTGTGATGAAGCTCTCCAGCTATTTGAGGCATTGTTCTGATAAGCTCTGTGTGTGTGCTTGTGTGTGTGTGCGTGTGTGTGTGTGTGTGTGCGTTTTGCACCGTGGGAAAAAGAACAAATGGTTGATGAAGACTTCAAGCAAACACAATGAAATCACACATGGCTGCTGCTAAACATGGTCTTCTGTCTCATGAAGAGCCGCTTCAGCGGGACGGCTGCTGATGATGCCCAAGAGTTGAAAGGATAATATCTTTGTTGCATTCCTCTTAATTAACCAGCTACTGTACTCTTATTTGTGTCAACACCTGCAAAGTTTTGTCTGAAAGATAAAGAATATTAATAAAAGAAATATTGTGGGCATTATCCACCTGTAGATCCCCCAGAAAAGGGCAGAAGATGTGGAGGACTGGACAGGACAGGTCTATGAAAGTATTAAACCTGATGCTCCATCTGGCTGACCTTATAAACCTCTCTGAATAGCTTCAGTTTAGAGACGAAGCTTATTCCTGCTCGGATGGATGAGCCTAGAGAGCGTTACAAATGAGGTTTTATTTAGCCTTGAATCTAAAGCAGTTAAAGAAGTTTGCATGAAACATATCCATCCATTCTCTTCTGCTTATCTGGAGTCGGGTCATTGGGTCAGCA